CGCATCGGGCTCTGTGCTGACTGCCAGCTCAGAGCCTGGAGCCTGTTTCAGAGACTGTGACTCCCTCTCTCTCTGACCCTCCCCTGCTCACGCTCTCTCTCTCTCTCTCCTAGAAATAAAAAAAAAAAAAAAAAAAAGTCTGGTAAATCTTGGAGTGGTGATTAATGGCAACAAACTGAGATTTTCTTTGACTTGATGGTGTTTTAAAGTCATTTTGGGGCGCCTGGGTGGCTTAGTCGGTTAAGCGTCTGACTTTCGCTTAGGTCATGATCTCGCGGTTTGTGGGTTCGAGCCCCGCGTCGGGCTCTGTGCTGACTGCCAGCTCAGAGCCTGGAGCCTGCTTCAGAGTCTGTGATTCCCTCTCTCTCTGACCCTCCCCTGCTCACGCTGTCTCACTCTCTCTCCTAGAAATAAATAAAACATTAAAAAAAAATAAAAATAAAAATAAAGTCATTTTGTTCAGCATTTCCAAAAGTGTGTTCCACAAGATGGAAGTCCTTCAGTATGTTAACAAGTGTTGTGCAAAAAGGCTCCTATAATCAAATAACTTTGAGAAATGTGCGAAAACAAAATCAACTGGGTCTCACCACTAGAGGATTTCTATGTGCCCTTAACACTTTAATGTGCATATGAACATTCATGTCTCCTACACTTAATTATAAAACTCTTATCTTCATTGTATATCCTCACAGTATCCCATAGCATCTCTTGGCACCAGGGAGTTTTAAGGAGCACATTCTGGGAAAAACCTTTTTGTTTCTCTTGCTCTGCTTTGGCAAATGGGTGCAGATACAACTGATAAAAAGATGGACCACTCAAACATTCCATTATCACATTCTCCTCTAAAAAGATATCCTAATTAAAAGCCGTCCTGAGAAGGATTTCAGCCAACTGCTTATGGCCTTGCCCTAGCGGTTACACACTGGCCTTGCGGAGGCAATAATGACTCCACGAGGCGATCCAAAGAGGAGAGCAACTGTTCAATGTAGAGACTAGATCCGACTCTGTGTTCATCTTCCTTAGAAATCTTACATCTTGTATCCCTGTTGATTAAAAGGAACTGATTATTTGAACTATGGTATAATATTGAAAACTCTTTGTTCTTATAACCAGTTATCATGCCCTCCTAGATCATACTTTCATCTTGCATCCTTAATAATCTATAAGATCTAGGACATTATCATGTTTTTGCTTAAACATGTGTAGGAGATGCTGCTCATTGTCTTCTGGTCTTTCATTTCAACCTTCTTTCTAAACAGAACCCCAGCTTTGGTCTGATATCCACCCCTCCCACACATAGCCCACCTCCCATGGCTCAGGGGAGCTGACTCCATCCCCAGTTCCTGAGGTAGACCATGATTTATCTAAGCCAGTTATTCTCAAAGTACGGACCCCAAACAAGCAGCATTTAGGCCCCATCCTTGACCTACTAAACTGTGAATGTTGGGGGCAGAGCTCCACAGGTAATTCTGAATCACAGTAAGAGTTGAGGGCCACTGTTCTTAATCAAATCTAATAATCCTATACTCTTTATCAGTGATTGATTCAGTGCGTGGTCTTCCCTTGGTTAATGTCAAGGTTCCAAAGATCGGTATAGAATCTGAGTTGAATAAAGAACAGAAGTTTCATTCCAATTTTGGAAGGGATATTTTTTTTCTTTCTCTCTCCCATGGAATATGATGAAGAAACTGCCATCTTAGAAGTTGGGGAGAAGCCCAAGGACAAAGTCAATACAAAGTAGAGCCAAGCAACTTTCAAAGATGCACAGCAGAGCCATGTAACTTCCTGCACCCAGTCCTACCTCTAACTTACAGTTCTGTGAGATGATGGTTTTCCTTATGGTTTCGGCCACTTTCAACTGAGTTATGTTTGTTTCTGTAGCCCAAAGCATCTCGTGTAGTACGATATATTCTAGGGGCACCTGGATGGCTCAGTCAGTAGAGCGTGTGACTCTTGATCTCAGGGTTGTAAGCTTGAGCCCCATGTTGGTTGTATAGGCTGTTTAAAAATAAAATCTTAAAAAAATGCACATGTATAATAATTTTCCCATTGTTTAAGATTAAGTCTGAATTCTCTGTTGAGGTTGTATGCTTATTACCTTGCCTCTAGGATAGTGGAGTACCCAGTTACGCTTAACGTGAATACAAATGAACACATGCATGAATGAATGAATGATCACACACTGAAGGATCAAGCAGATAATATCATGTTCATTACTCTTATCAAGTATGATTGATTTAAAGTCATTATGAGGCCCCCAAAGTAGTTAAGCCATTCATGCAAATAATGAATTGTCATGTAGTCTTAGTTTTAACACTATATTTGCTGCAACTTAGTGAAATTTTTTCCAGCCAGCTTAGGTGAAAATGAGGGTCTATTATAAGGTTACTGAAGGGTCTTATGGACCATAGAAGACCTTTTTTTGTTTATGAACCATAGACTTTTATCCCTGACGCCAGCCAACAAGAATGAGTGTCACTGGTAAGGGGAATGTAGATGGATTTAAAAAAATTGAAATTAACCAACAATTATGAAAGAAAAAAAAAACCACATTGATCTGCAAGGCTACCTCAGTGCGTGGAAAGACCAGGAAGAAAAGACAGTCCCAATCTGCTCCTAGTCTTTTTACTCATTTAAGAGCAAAGCATCACCATAGGTTTTAAGTTTATTTTATGTTTGAGAGAGAAAGAGAGGCAGAGGGAGCAAGTGGGAGGTGGGGGAGAGAGAGAGAGAGAGAATCGCAGGCGGCAGGCTCTGCACTATCAGCACAGAGCCCCTTGTAGGGCTCAAATTCACAAACCATGAGATCATGACCTGAGACAGAATCAAGAGTCAGACACTTAACCAATGGAGCCACCCAGGAGCCCCTACAATCACCATAGGTTTTATAAATGGGATAGTCCTGTCAATCTTCTGGCATCCAAGATACTTTAGAACTAAGAGGCATACAATTAGACACTGCTCTTACCAGGAAAGAGTTACAAGGAATCAGTTACCAAAGTGAGTTCATTTCTCAGCATTGTGCTGGGCTCTGTAGGCTGGGGAAGGACTTCCATAATTTATATCCCCCTTTTGACTTAAAAATTGAAGCTTCAGTTTTGGAAATTTCCTCAGATATTGGAGAATAGTAGGAAATCCCTTCTTGTTATATTTAACAAAACTTATATATATATTTTTTTAAAAACTTATGATATTGACCTTAATGTAAAACATCAACCTATTGTAAACAAGCCTTCCCATTCATGACTGATTTATAATTGGTGAAACTCAAAGAAGGGCTTTTCACATGTTCAACATGTTATTTTAGGAAAGACATAGTTTGAGAAAGAGGTCTATTTTCTATTAATGAAACAGCTAGGGTAAGAACTTGATGTTAAATGAAAATATTGGGTTCGTTCCCTCCTAAATGAGTGAATGTACGTTTATCACCTGAAAAGTGCCTGATACATAGTACATGTGAGCTATGATATCAGTTAGGATTGCAGGTAATAAAACCTGGAAATCATAGCTTAAACGAGTGAGAGTCTTAGCTCAGAAGACAGAAGTCTGGATGGCAGACTTGGTCTGCCAGGGAGCTCAGGACAATCATTAAAGATAGGGGACCCCCTGGCTTCTCTTGCCATCATCTTTAGTGGCCACAAGATGGCTGCTGCTCTCTGGACATTGCATGCACATTCCAAGCAGGAAGCACAAACAGGGAAAAGGAATCCCTTCATCTAGTGAGGTTTTACCTTTTTACTTGGTAAGTGAGAGTCCCTCCTCAGACATTTCTACCTACCTTTCATTAGACGCCCCGCAGGTTGGAGAAATGGAGTATTTCAGCTGGGTATATTGCCACCCTGAACAAAATGGCATTGCGTTAATCAGGACAGAAGAAGGAACAGATAGTGTGCAGGTATTTAGTAATATCCACCCAGGCTATCATTACTTCAACTGAAAGGCAAGCCTAAGGAAATACAAGGTGGAGGGTGTGTCGAGATGGGATCAGGGGAGAAACAGGTAGTCTTACCTTTTGAAGTTATTCAGTCAAGTTCTCCTGCCTCTTGTTTCTATTGCCCTACTCCCGTCTCACGCCACAAACAAGTAACTTCATCTAGTTGTTCTCTTTCAACAAGAACCTTTCAGTTTTTTCTCCTTTAAGACCATTACAGACACTTCCTACTTTTATTTTTTTAATTTTTTTTAATACATTTTCTTTTTTTTTTAATGTTTTATTTCTTTCTAGGAGAGAGAGAGACAGCGTGAGCAGGAGAGGGTCAGAGAGAGAGGGAGTCACAGACTGAAACAGGCTCCAGGCTCTGAGCCGGCAGTCAGCACAGAGCCCGACGCGGGGCTCGAACCCACGAACCGCGAGATCATGACCTAAGCGAAAGTCGGACGCTTAACCGACTAAGCCACTCAGGCGCCCCTAGACACTTCCTACTTTTAATGGCAATATCCAAACTCCCTAAGGTAATATTCATGGTTCCTGTTTAAAATGCCCCAACACAGATTGATGGACCTCAGTGGGCTGGGACCATCATATTAGTAACTATGCTTTGTTTCTGGAAGGACTTGTTTTTGCAAAGTCCACCTAATGAAAACCAGCTACTGAACACTTGGTATCACATCAAAAAAATGACTTGATGATACTGGAACGGCTTCTTGTAGGCAGGGAGGACAACAGGTGTTAGGGCTCGCGAGTTCCATCTCTAACCTGTGTTGCGAGGCAGGAGAAAGCTTCTTGCAGGGTAGCGTGTGGGGTGTTCCCCCAACACTCCGCGTCGCGTGGGAAAGTAACGTTGGAGACCCTTTGCCGACCGGGAGAAGACCAGGGGCGCGTAGACAGCCCCGCCCCAGGCCCCGCCCCAGGCCCCGCCCCCTCCCGCGGGGCCCCGCCCACAGATGCTCCGAGTCTCGCTGCCGCCGGGCTAGCGGAGGCCGGGGGCGGGGCTCACCCTTGCCCTCTGGGTCCCTCGGGCTCCGCCAATCAGCGATCGCCCTGTTGGCCGTCTGCAGCTCCCGCGCCCCTCCTCCTCCCGCCGGCCTCCGCTTCCCAGAATCCAAGATGGCGGGATCCAGGCAGAGGGGTCCCCAGGCCAGAGTTCGGCCTCTTTTCTGCGCCCTGCTGCTGTCGCTTAGTCGTTTCGCCGGGGGCGACGGCATGGGAGGCGACCCCGCGGCCGCTGGTGCGGCGGGCACCGCAGCCGCATCGCCACACCGCCGTTTCGAGTACAAATACAGCTTCAAGGGGCCGCACCTGGTGCAGAGCGACGGGACAGTGCCCTTCTGGGCCCACGCGGGGAGTAAGCCGGGAAGGAGGGCGGGGGGCCGGGGTCCCCTCCTCGCCTTGCGTCTCCTCCTCTTCACCCTTTCCCCGCTGCACTCCACTGGCGCGGCGGGCCCTTCTCAGCAGCCCCTCCTGCAGGTCGGCTCTGGTCCGCAGGGCTCTCTTCGCCTGCCCCCTAACTCTCCCCCCAACCCCCTTCTGCCACCCCTCGTCTTCCTGTCCTCTCTTCTTTGACGTCGTCCGCTCTTTCCGTTCGGTGTGGAGGTGTTTTGTTACTTTCCTACGCTTACAGGCACTCAGACTGTCTTCTGAGCATCACCTTTCACCATGCCACGTCTCGCCGGGACCGTCCTGCGGCCCCACCCCCGGCCGTCCCATCCCGAGACCTGCTCAGGCAGCTTCCCCTCCCTCCTTTCCCGCTGGGCCTGGGCCTCCCCTGCGGTCTTTTCTCCGGTGCCAGCAATGGTTAATGCTCCAGGTTGTACCCCGGAGCCACTGACGCCTCCGGGGAGGGCATGTGTTCGTTTTAGAGTAGGTCTTAAGTTTGTTTGGGGTTATTTTGTTTTCTGTTTTTTTGTTTTTTATGTCTGAGGACGTTACGTTATTGGAACACCTTGAATTTGCCTCCTGGTGACTTGGTGCGGTCTTTGATCTTTTCTCTCATACCAGGTAGCAAGAGTCACACTCGTCCCTGTGGTAAAAGGGATATATATGTTTTGGTATGGATTGTTTCTGCACGTGACACTGGAGGATAACATAGATACAGCCTTTTAAAAGTTATTCTTAGCTTTTTTGAAAATTGGAAGTAATCCGTGCTCCGAGTTTTACTCACGCTGGCTGTTTGTCACTGTTAGTAGATAAGAGAGCCTTGCTACACATTTACATATGTGAAAGGAAACGTATTTGTACCTTCTGTTGCTGATGTGTCACTGCTGACTAAGGAACCAGCCGTAACACTTGGCATGCTGTGAGCTCTGTCCAGTGACCATCAGACGTACCCTTTGAACCAAGGGGCAGATGCCTTGATATGGGGTGAGCAGTCTGGCATTTTGAGTTCCTTCTTTATGTGTCATTAAACAATTATTTATATAAGGTTTGTATACATCGTTTTAGATTGTCCAGTGCTTGAGATAAAATACCCCACTTCTAGAGCGTAATCACTGAATTAGAAACACGTTTAGTAAAAACCATTTCACTGAAATGAATGTATAATTCAAAGGTATAAAATTTCAGTTTGACTTGATGACCAAGTCATGAAGTATTTGAAGTAGAGTGCAATAATTTTGTTACTCCACAGGCATTTACTGTGTGCCCGCTCGTCAAGGGTATATTGGTGGGCTTTTGTGATCGAGGTAATATTGTTTTTAGTACATAAAGTTGATGCAGGTGCACCAAACACAAGTTTTTGTTTGATTCAGAACGATGGTAAAGTTTTCAGTAGTGGTGATGAATTTGTTCCCACGTTTTTACTTCCACCTCTCTCCCTTGTTCTGTCTTTTCACACTTAACACCACATCCATCAGCCAATTAGGACTGTTAATCAATCGCTTCTCAGCCTTTTGGCTAAGATCAAGTGTAGGAATGTTAATCAACTACCCAAACTAGTTACCTTGACTTTCTCTACAGAGCCTATCCCTAACCATACTTGTCTGCTGCAGAAATGTCATAGAGAGTACCTGGGTGATTTAAGTTGATGACTAGACTGAATTCGAAATAAATGGATTCAGGTTTTAGTCATGATTTTTTTCTACATCCTGAATCGGGGAGTCCCTGCTGTGAATACTTGCTTTCATGATCACTGTAATTTTTACAGTCTCACTGTCTTCTTAACTCCATTGATCATTTTTTTCCCCTTTTCATTTTACCCGGAGAGCCATTACTTAATGCAGTTTTTTCAAATAGAGAAATTTAAGATTTAGTTTAAACATGGCCCATTACATTCATCCTCAAATGAAGACCAAATCGATAGTGTTTCTTTTTTGAACTCTAATGTCCTTTTGTACTGTTAGTACACATCCTCCGTTCGTAAGGGCACAAAAATTATCACAATAATTTGTAACCCTTTGTAGCTCTCAGAGCTCTTTCCCTTCATTCTCTGAGCTGATCGTTTGTAAGCAAGGCAGGTGTTAGCTGCTTCATAGATGAAAAAACTGCTGCTCAGAAAGGTTAAGGTTCTTGGAAAAGGTTACATAGGCAGTGTCAGTAGATCAGAGCACAAACCAAGGCCAAGGTCTTCTGATACTGTGTCCAGTACTCTATCCCTGATCCCTGTCCCACCCATTAAGCATTTGAAAGTCATAGTAACTGATCTTACTAAAGTAGCTCAACTTGTCTTTTTGTCAGTTTCTCCTAACGTAAAGACGTAATACAGTTATTTCCAAGCATGGATGTCAGAACTGGCTAATATCTAAGACGGTGTGTTAGAATTGTTTGAACTTAGGCCCAATAGGTACTTTAATAATAATATCTAGTTCTATAACAGGACTAGCTAACATTTATTGAAATACTTCTATGCCTATGAAGTTGTTAGAGAAATGGAGTAACTTTCCTACAATCAAATAGCTAGTAAGTGGTGGCTGGGACTTGAGCCTAGCTTGGAGATGCAGACCACCATTTTGGGGATCATAATTTTCTTTGCGAATCTGCTGTTGCTAAAAACAAAACAAAACAAAACAAAACTGTTCATTGCCTTGAAAATCAGTTGACCCTCTCCCTAGAAGAATGTATATATGCACAGAATTTTGCATATAACTTTTGGGGTGTTTCTGGAAGTGATTGAGCCCAGCCCCTTCATTTTACAGGTGAACATACGGTGAACCCAAGACAGTAAGAGAATTATTTGCTCAGAGTCACACAGCTGAACTGAGACTAGGAATAAGTCTCTTGATTCCTAGTGGTATGTTCCTTTCACACTGTTTGAGCTTCCTAATATTTGTAAACTGGTAAAATACTTCGCAGTTTAAAAAAAATAGCATGGAAGTTTTTGAGGTACTTGAAAAAGAATATTATGGGAATCAAATAGAAGGTTTGCTTTTTAAGTCATAATTTCTCTCCTCCTGCCCCTTGAATTTTTAGTGTATGGTTGCAGCTTTAATTTTTTTTTTTTTGCAGAGGTATTTCACTGTTCAAAAGATGGCAGGAGAACTGTTAGAAGCCTCTAAAATTTTAAAGTTGAAAGTATCAACGTGTAATTTTTTTCCTAACAAAATTTTTGTGCAGGTTACTGAGTTAAAATCAGATCTTGATAGGTATATGGAACAGTTCGGTGATGGTTCATTGAGTTCGACCTAATTATAACTTAAAGCTTTTCTTCCCTGATTTTTGTTTTAGATGCTATTCCGAGTTCAGATCAAATTCGAATAGCGCCATCTTTAAAAAGCCAGAGAGGATCAGTGTGGACAAAGACAAAAGCGGCCTTTGAAAACTGGGAAGTTGAGGTGACATTTCGCGTGACTGGAAGAGGTCGAATTGGAGCTGACGGCCTGGTATGAGAATTTCTTTAGCTTAGAAAGTGTGTATCAACGCATTTGCCACTAGCCTCTAAATGCCTCCTGTTATTTATATCTACAGGCAGTTTGGTACACAGAAAATCAAGGCTTGGAGGGGCCTGTGTTTGGATCAGCTGATATGTGGAACGGTGTTGGAATATTTTTCGATTCTTTTGACAACGATGGGAAGGTATGCTTGTTGTCAGGACGGTTAGCTACGTGAGTGTACTTGCTAACAAAGGCTGTGAGAAATTAGTTTATTTAAGACTTTTGTCAGGTTAGTAGTAGAGAAATCTCTAAATTATAGTTTAAATTATGATGATTAGTCTTTATAGAGCCAGGAGTTTAGAAATGTAAAGCTGTGAGCTCATGATTTGTTGTACACCAACTAGAGGTATAATGGAGCTCTGACTCTGAGAACTTCGCAGTGACCTCCCTCCCCGGCCCCCTGTATGTGCTCAGTAATGCTGACGGATAAGCATGTATCATTGAGGTACAGGCCGTGAAACCAGTAGTGTTTAGAAGACTGTTACAGTTTGTTTTCAGGAAAATGTCCACGTGCGTTACTACTGCTAGCTCACATAGTAATACTTTTTCCTACTTCAGTCACTTTTTGATCAGTTTTTCCAGTGCTGTCTTTAGGAGGGCCTGAAACAGAACCAAATGTACTTGTGAATTGGAAACATTCACTTGTGTGTTAGCGGCCTTAAGATTCATGATCTTTGTTTCAGCTGGTAGTTTCTCTGCTGATTGTCAGAAGTCCTTATTAACACTTTAAAGGAGAACTTTATTTTATTTATTTATTTATTTTTTATTATTTTATTTATTTCTAGGAGAGAGAGAGAGACAGTGTGAGCAGGGGAGGGTCAGAGAGAGAGGGAGTCACAGACTGAAACAGGCTCCAGGCTCTGAGCTGGCAGTCAGCACAGAGCCCGACGTGGNTATTATTATATTAAACATATTAATATATAAAATTATTCCCAGAGGAAATAATTTAAATGTTAACTTTTTATATTTAATTAGTTTTGGTACTTTCTATTTCATTTTTTTTTAAATGTTTTATTTATTTCTAGGAGAGAGAGAGAGAGACAGCATGAGCAGGAGAGGGTCAGAGAGAGAGGGTCACAGACTGAAACAGGCTCCAGGCTCTGAGCTGGCAGTCAGCACAGAGCCCGACGTGGGGCTCGAACCCACGAACCGCGAGATCATGACCTAAGCGAAAGTCGCGGATGCTTAACCGACTAAGCCACCCAGGCGCCCCTAAAGGAGAACTTTAATAATAACTTCCTGAACACTGAGGCGTGTCAGTCCCCTAGTTAGTAACCCCCCTGGGTCGCAGTTGTCCCACGCTCACAGTGGCTCCTCACATCTGTGTTGTAGGTGATTTATTCACACAGGGCACATCATCAGTCTTTATTGAGGTATTAAGAGACCTTTTTTGAATGATTAAAAGAGTTTACTCATTTTTTTTCTAAATAAGGAGAAGTCTTTTCTATTAGTTATTTTACCATTCTGAGTCCTAGAATTTTAGAAATGTAAGAGGCCTTATAGTACTTCTAGAATAATCTAGAATTCTTTGACCAAAGGACTTTAAAACAAATGTGTTCTTTTTATTTTTAGAAAAATAATCCTGCTATAGTGATCATAGGCAACAATGGACAAATCCATTATGACCATCAAAAGTAAGTGTGTGCTTTATATCTTAATTTGATTTCAGCTCCTTTTTGAAAACTTTGGAAAATATACTGTTCAAATCTGAACATTTTCCATCCAAGTACTAACCAGGCCTGACCCTGCTTAGCTTCCGAGATCGGGTGCGTTTTGGGTGCTATGGCAGTAGACTGAGCATTTTCCGGATGAGATAAGATTATTCTTTTTCTTGATATATTTTGTAACTTGGTGGAAAGATCTTATTTTAATTTGCCTCTGTTTTAAACTTCATTCTGTGGACCACCTCAGATTTCAAACAAAAAAAAATGTGTTGTTTTATTCAATCTAAAGTTATATAATACGTTGAAAGGTTTATAAAATATTCCTAGTTCTCAGTAATGCAGTTAGTCATGTTTCTTTCAGCTTTATCTTTAAAAAGTAAAGTTCAGAGTCTTGACCGGACTAATGGCCAAGACATAAGGTAGCCAGTGCCACCTCATTCATCTTTTGTGTTGCTGTATTTAAAGATTCTTAGTAGGCTACAAAACTTGTAAGTGTTTAGTATATTTACACTGTGTGTGAATTATGTATGGACATTTTTTATTTTTGCATGTTTGTTGTGGGAAGGATGACCTGTGAGCCAGTCCGTAAACGATAAGAAAAATTACTTACCTGCACTTCTTTTACTGTGTCCTACCTTAGTGATTTCTAACCCTCCTGGCTCATCATGACCCCCTGTGGAGCGATTTAAAGTAGAGGGTGCCCAGGCCACTCCTTGGGAGTCTGCTTCAGGTCACTCCGAGGGGAATCTGGGAATTGGCAGTTTTAAAAGCTCCATGTGTATTAGATTGTGCCGTACAGGACTATGGCTCTAGTGTCACATAGGAAGGGGTGACTTTCCGCTTGATGTCAGCACTTGGAAACACTGGCTTCTGATGTTGTCCACAGTTCTGACAGGAATCACAGGAAAAAACTTGTGCCTTAACTTTGCGTCTTCTGAGTAAATAACTTCAGATATCCCAAGACTCTGCCATAACTTGATGTAACTTTATCTTTCGGGACAGCGATCATTTTAAATAGTGAGTTTTTAAATACTGGGAAGCTCTGTTATGGTTTTCATTTGTTTTCCCTTTCTTCATACCGTAGCGATGGTGCCAGTCAAGCTTTAGCAAGTTGCCAGAGGGACTTTCGTAATAAGCCCTATCCCGTCCGGGCAAAGATTACCTACTACCAGAAAACACTGACAGTAAGTAACGTGCTTAGAGATGATCAAATGGACAATATTCTCGCGTGACTTTTCATTTTGAATCTTTGGTAGAAATTAAAGGCCTGTGAATTTGGATATTGTTTACACACTGAGCATTACTGTGAGAGAGCAGAAGCGGCTGCAAAGCTTGGTGTGAGTGGTGACGTGTTGTACAGCCTTGCCCGTGGGTTTGCAGTTAGTCAGTATGTGTTTAAACATCCTACTTACTATGTCCCACACAGTGTATACGTATATATGCCAGCCAGCAAGATACAAAAATGAGGAAGATAAAGGCCATATTCTCCGAAGAGCCTGTAGTCCCCTGGAGTGGAAACACTTATGTAACATTGCGACGCTATTTGATTCGTGCTGCAACACGCATACCCTTAAGTAATCAAGGGGATAGAATCTTCCAGACTGCCAGGTGTGAGCCGGGAGGGTCAGGAACAGTTTCTCAGAGTTGAGCCGCACCCGAAAAGGGAAGTAGAAATTTCCTAAATGGGGTGCATATGCCAGGCAGAGAAAGCGGGCATAGGGACTCTTGAAAGATTTGGGAAAGGCATGTAGTTTGGCTGGAGGATAGAGGAGACCGTGGGAAGTGGGGTTGAAATGGTGGTGATAGCCAGGCCCCTTGCGGGCCTCAGGTAGTTTACCCTGTTAGGAACTGTTTAAAGTTCTGAGCAGGAAAGTGAAATCAGATTTGCAGTTTGGGAGGATGACTTAGGCAGCTGTGTTCTTACAACGGTGTCTGTGGAAGGAAACTCCAGCTCTTAAAGGGCCACTCCCTGTGCTCGGTACTTCACAGTTTCTCACTTATTTTCCAGCAGCCCTGTGGGGTGGGCATCCCCGTCTTGTACGCGGGGAGATTGAATATGGAAATGTTAAGTAGCTTCGTGTCCTACGCCGTAAGTAGCACAGCTGGGTGATTTGAACAGAGCGCTCCCTAAGCTGTAAGACTCCATCTAACTCCACCTGTGGTGTGAACCAAGGGAGAGGAAGGAAGAGAGGGGAAGTGATTAGGAGGGAGAGACTGCAGGACTTAATACTGGTTTGCTTGGGTGGGGGGAGGCTGTGCACAGCTGCGGAGTCAAAGCTAGTTCTTGGGTTTCTGGCCAGTTGTGCAACTAAGCATTTGTTTGTGTTTGAGTGAGGAGTGAAGACAGAGTGGTGGTGAGCATTCAACTGTAGACACATTGAGTCCAGGGTACCTCTTAAGTGCGTATATCTAGTTAGCAGTTCCACGATTACTAGTATTGTGAACTTTGCTTGATAAAGGTTTATCAATACCTGGTTATATAATACTTGTAAATAAAAAAAATCTTGTTTAAACTTTGCTCTCTCCCAAATTTTGCTCTTTCATGAGCTAGCCTTGCACAGGCTGTTCTTTAGAGAACTTTGTATTGGCTCAGTCTTAAATTCCAAACCAATTTAGAGATCTCAGAGTAGTTGAGGTGCCCGGTCTGTCATTATGGACTTGGACCTGAGTGCCACTATAACTGTTACACACCCGTTACAGTTTCATTAGGGTCATCAGTAAGCTGTGTCACCTTCATGTGGCAGAACCCAACCACCAACCACAGGGAGGGCAGGCACACACTTTAGTTCACAGATTGCCCTGGGGGGTGGGGGGGCTGCCTACACAACACAGTGCACCGAACCCATCGACAGTACCCAAAGTGTCCTCCCAGGAGGGTTCATGTTCAGAAGAGATCGGGCATGGCTGTGCATGTTAGCACATTAAAGACTTCTAGGAAGTCTTGAAATAAACTTTCATTAAACTCTACGTGCCTCAGAATTGCCTTTTCACCTCACATCTGCGAATGTCTGTAGAGCTAGTGCTGCGAAGAATACTTTCAAGAGAGACTTGCCAAGACACATGACTGACTGAACGGTTCTAGCCTTTATGTTTGCTCAGTCTCTTATCTCTTCCTGTAATGCACTCCCCACTTCTCTCTCTGTGGCAGAGTCCTGCTCAGTCTTGAACAGGCTAGGTCAGATCCCTGTTCCATTATTGGCAGAGAGATAATGATCTTTGTCTCCAAAACTCTGGGTTTTTTTCTCTAGTGCATGTTTGTCCTTTGAAATATGTTGCCTTGAATTACCAGTTAACTCTGGTTCGTATGTTTTTCTCATCAGTATGGTTGTAAACTTGTCAAGTACAGACATTATATCCTGTATCCTGTATAGTCCCTAATATCATGCTCATTGTAGTAACTCAAGAGATGTTTGTTGAATTGGTACTTATACATTTATCTTGGCCCAGTTGTTTGAACTTCAGATGGGAAAACAGAGTAAGGGGAGTAAGAAACACTATTAGAAGAAGAACATAGTCACAACAAGTGATTTTTAAACACAGCCAGTGCAGCTTTGCACTGTGGCAGGATCGTAGCCAGTGAGGTTTATCTGAGGTGCGATTACTGCTAATTGAAAACTAAATACTGCTAGTGTAGTTAACAGTGGGTTGAAATGGTAAGTGAAGAAAGCATACATATGGTACCTGTATAGTCCTGGACCCATCGTTCTTCCAGACTTCTAGTACAGTGAATATATTTTTCTCTCTCTCTCTCTCTTTTTTTAAAGAAATAGTACTAGACAGTAGAGACTCCTGTTGGATTTTCAGTTTGTTGAGGTTTAAGGGAAAAATACCAAACAGTCGAACATATTTAGGGTTAGAATTAGAATGTGATTAACTTAACACCTTTTGTTTTTTATCTCTCAAAGACAAATGTCTTACCTGATTCTTGATTCCGATTTAAAAAACTGTAGAGGTCTTACCTGATTCTTGATTCCGATTTAAAAAACTGTAGAGGAGAACTGTTTGTAAATGGTGGAAACTGAAATAGGAGCATACTGATCAGAGGGAACAGAATATAAATATTAGTCAACTAAATGGCAGGTGGTTCTAAAAAATTGGTAGGCGTTCACATGGTTCCACTCTATATGATACAGGATTTGCCCTTTGTATTGACGACTGTCTTCCTTTCTTAGTGAAAGATTGCCACATCCCTCTGCCTCCTCCCTCCACTCTCAGCCCCTCTGACGTTGGGTTGCTGGGAGTGAAAGGCTTGGCCACTGCTTGATTGGGATCAGATCAGTATCTGTGTGTCTCCTGGGTTCTTTGCTTTCTTGGGATTCCAAGATTCTTTTAAGACATTTTGGGTTATTACTTCCAAAATACATTCTGCACAGGGACACCTGAGTGACTCAGTTGGTTAAGCATCCAGCTCTTGATTTCTGCTCAGGTCATGGTCTCACTGTCTGTGGGTTCAAGCCCCACGCTGGACTCTGTGCTGACAGCATGGAGCCTGCTTGGGATTGTCTCCACACCCCGCCCCTCCCCCACTTTCATTCATTCTCTCTCTTTCTCTTTCAAAAATAAATAAACTTTTAAAAATACATTCTCCCGAATAGAAACTGAGGCCTCCTTTCAGTATTTCCGTTTTATGCCTGGCCTTTTTGTTAATACGGCTTCTGTCACTTGTCTCTCTGCTGACTTACGACTGTCCAGCCACATCCCCTGCCCCAATTTAATGAAGAGAAGCTCATGACTTGCTAAGTTAATCTATTTAATTCTCAGTCAGCTGTAGTAGAAATTGTAAATTCATCCTGTTCGTTTTGGCTGTCCCTGGGTGTTCAGAATAACTCTGATCCCTCTTCTGTACAAACCATTCAAAGAAAGTAGTCATGGTTCCCGAAGTCTTTGATTTTAGAAAGATTTTCGTGGAATGTTACCGACAAGTTCTCTTTAAGCCTTTGACACATAGTAGGGTTAAAATATTTAAAGTGAAGTACCTTGTATGATGAAACCAAATAAGTAAGGTTGGTTAATGGACAGGGGATTACCCTTTTTAATTTTTTTTTTTTTACCCTTTTTAATAATGAGAGAAAACTGATACCTTTTTGACAGTGGGCTCTTAGACCAAATATAAAGATCAGTTAGTCATAAATTGGCTATTTGAAATTCATTTTACAGTGCCTGTTATGAAAGCTACAGCTGTAGTCTCTTTTTAGGTAATGATCAACAATGGCTTCACACCAGATAAAAATGATTATGAATTTTGTGCCAAAGTGGAAAATATGGTTATCCCTCCTCAAGGACATTTTGGAATATCTGCTGCAACTGGAGGGCTTGCAGGTAAATCTTGCCGTCTTTTAACGTTAAAAGTTTGCGAATTGAGTGCCCTTGGGGATAGTGTGTTGTCGAGACATGTAGACTTGTTTACTGTCTGCCTTTTAAGACTGGCTGTGACCTTTCCATGGACCGCGGGGCCTGTCCTCTGGTATCTTGGCTTCTTGGATGTGCCACTCTTTCCACTCCTGTGCTCGAAGCGCATGGCTGCCTGGGCTGCATCCAGTTACGTGCATGGCCCATCCGCTTGGGTGCTGCTGTATACTGAAGGAGATGTACTCAAAGTCAGGGCTGTAAAGGGGTCATTGCCAAGTGGTTTAGGATCCTGAAAGCTGTCTCAGCATATTTAAGTGAATTTGGTAGCCTGAGGAAATATTGGGGACTCAAGTGTCAACAAGATACATTTACCATTTTTACTGTTGTTTCCCCTACATTCGGTGACAAATGAACTTCTTATTGGACGTCAGTACCATCTTGGGTTCACATGGTACATTGTTAACTTTTTATTATTTTCAGGTATGTGATTGTTCTTTCCTCATCACAGGGAAGAGAGAGCAGATAGATTATATCTACCCTATTTTTAGTTAAGTTTGCCAAAGCTTAGCTTAAAGGATGTTATAAATATTACACGGCCGGTAATGGCCAGACCCAGGCAAGGCCTGGTTTGGATTTCTGACTTGCGGGTCCAGTGCTGTATCACACAGTACAGCCTCTCCCAAAGTTACATAACTTAACCATAGTGTTATAATGTTCTCTTTAATCTGGCTGCCTAACTCCATCTCCATAATACTGGCAGAAAGCATAGAGATTGCCAGTTGAAATTAATTGCTCTTACTTTGTGGACATGACTGGTATCCTAGCCAGGATTGGTAATTTAGGTCAGCGTTATGAGGTATGATCTGCTAAGTCCCCATTTTCAGCTTAAACAGCCTGAAATTGATTTGATTTTTAAAATATGATTTTAGATAAAGTAAAATTGTTAATATCTGCCATGTGAGGGAAACAAGTATGAATGATATTTAGATAGAATGATGATATTCTCTAAATTGGAAAGCTCTGAGATTAAAAGATGCTATTATAGTAATACCAGGACAACAGGGATAAGTCAGGGCTATCCCAGCAGGCCAGGACAAAGCAATGTCAAGTTCATAACAAGAAAGTAAGACACGAAGTGGTAAGTACTATAAGAAAGGTTCAGAGACAGGTATGGGATTACATGAAGGACAGAATTTTGTATCATTTGGCTGGGGCACAGCCCATGAAGGAGATTTGTGGGAAAATATGGGAGCATCTTGGTGCCAGTTTTAAGAGTTTGGGCTTGTTTTGACCTTTCGTTTGTTTGTTCATTCCCTTATCCCTTATTTATTATTATCCTTTATCCCCTTATTTTATTTTTTTAATGTTTATTTTTATTTTTGAGAGAAAGAGGCAGAGTCTGAGTATAGGAGAGGCAGAGAGAGAAGGAGACACAGAATCCCAAGCAGGCTGCAGGCTTCAGGCTGTCAGCACAGAGCTCAATGCAGGGCCCGAACTCATGAACCATGAGATCATGGTCTGAGCTGAAGTTGGACACTTTAACCGACTGAGCCACCCAGGCACCCATATCTCCTTGTATTAAACATGTGTTATTTATTAAGCAGGGTTAGATGTTCTGGTTTAGAATAAAAGAACGTGAATTTTAGTTTATTTCTGATGTAAATGTTTTTGGTGAATTTTTATCTCTAAGCTCATAGAGCATCATTCCCTTTACTAGATTAGAGCGGATATTTGTTATTTTTCATATAAATTATTTTTAAAGCAACAGATCTCTCTACAGTAATTACACAATCATAAAAATAATCTATTATGGAACTTTTTCAGTTTTGTTTTTGTTTTCTTTTAATTTGTAGATGACCATGATGTCCTTTCTTTTCTGACTTTCCAATTGACCGAGCCGGGGAAAGAGCCGGTAAGTATAATCTTTTCAATGTATTCTTTTTTTTTTCTGAGAAAGATAGAGAGAGACAGCATGAGCAGGGGAGGGTTAGAGAGACGGGGACACACAGAATCTGAAGCAGGCTCCAGGCTCTGACCTGTCAGCACAGGCCCGACACAGGGCTCCAACCCACGAACTGTGAGATCATGACCTGAGCCGAAGTCAGACGCTTAACCAGCTGAGCCACCCAGGTGCCCCAGTATAATCTTTTCAAAAAGTTTATTTTTGCTTTGTCGGTAGCTCCTTGTAGGTGAAAACTTGGGAAGCCCAGCTTAGGTTTGGGTCTTGTTCCTGCCTGTTATCGCTGTATGACCTTATTAACATTACTCAACTTCCATTACCACCCCGTTTCCTCCTGGTTAAATGGAGACATTTGTGCTGTTGTGAGCATTAAATCAGACCGTGCACTGCTAGCAGGCACGCAGTAAATGGTAGTGCCCAGCATTATTGTTCTGTTGTGAGTTTTCGTAGCGAGAGTCATTTGGCTATGATATAAATAAGAAAATGACATTTTTATGTGAACCTTTCAACTAGTGGTGGGATAGTTAAAATGAAGGGGAGAAAAGTATATTGAGGTTTATTATTTTCTTACCCTTTTAATTTTTTTTAATGATTCTAAATTCCGAAAAAGCCTACACCAGATAAAGAAATTTCAGAAAAAGAAAAAGAAAAGTATCAAGAGGAATTTGAGCACTTTCAACAAGAATTGGATAAAAAAAAGGAGGAATTCCAGAAGGGCCACCCGGACCTTCAGGGGCATCCTGGTGAGTCGGAGGAGGCTGTGCTCAGACCGCACGGAGCTGGCGGCGCCTGCATCCATCTCATCGTCCAGCTCTCGCCTTGCACGTCCCAGTAGTTTCCGGGGGCAGCATACGAGTAGATGTGCCGTCACAAGGCGTGGAGGTTGATGCTCCTCCCCCAGTAGGAGAGTGTGGCTTAGGAGAGCGCGCAGTGAGATGCCGGGGGTGCCCATCCACCGGAGGGCAGGCTCTGTGAGCACAGGGATTCTGTTTGTGTGTTTACTGCTCTGCCCCCTAAACCTAAAAAAAAAAAAAAAAAGCCCCATTGCTGAGCTAGTTGTTGAGACTCAGTAAATATTTATGGAATGAAATCACCTAAGGTTTATGCCTTTCCTTTTTGAGTGGCACACGTTACCTTATTACAGAAATACTACGGGAAAAATGTCAGGAGGCTTGCGGAAGTAAAGTGAAGTGATTCCCTGGCTCTCCTTCCCTTTTACTGCTCGACAGAACTCTGGACCTTGAATTTTGCAAATTTTAAAACAATTAGTCTAAGCCAGCGTAAGTAAGAACTTAAGTGTGCTAGCTGTCCAAAATTAAACATGACAGGTCCAAATAGCGTGGCTTTATATTATCTGCTAATTTTTATTTGGATTGTTCCCACCAGCACGGATGATCAAAGCTGTATAATAAAGCTCACAGCTAGCTTTTGTACCCCAGGTAGTATGTGATTCTCTAAATGATCAATGATGTGAATCAGACTTCATGCAGCTAAAAATGAAAGATAAATTTAATTCTTTTCTTGGATTTGTTTTAAATACCACCTGTGGTTTGTGAGTATGTCCTTTTGTAAAAAGTGTTCGAATGAAAAAATCTTATTTTCAGCATAGTCAGGTATAAAAGGAAAATCCACTGTTCTCAACTCCATTTTTTAATTTATTATGTAAGTAATTTAAAAATAAATTTAATACACAGATTTTAAGAGTGTAGTGTGATGAAATTCGACAAATATGCATACACACGTAACCGACACTCAAATCAGCACATAGAATATTTTTATCTCCCTGAGAAGTTTGCTCATGCCTCTCTCAAGCCAGCCCCCACTCCACAGAGGCCACCGCTGTTCTAGTTCCTAGTAACATAGATTAGTTTTACCCTTTCGTTATGTAGAATTATACAGTATATTTGAAAGATTTACTTTTAGGTGGAAAAAAAAATTCAGAACTAATTTATAGTAGTATTCAACCAGCAGAGATGGCAAAAAACAAATAGTAATTTTGTCATGATTGAATTGATGATCTGTAGGTTTACTGTTGGGGAGGTCATACCACTGGAGTAGAACACAGTGGTGATGTCCTAATTTTATATATTTTTTTATTACTATTATTTATTTTAGAGAGAGAGATGAGAGTAGGGGAGACGGGTAGAGAGAGAGAATCTCAGCTTCCATGCTCCGTGCAGAGCCTGACATGGGGCTTAATCCCACGACGCTGGGATCATGCAATGCCTGAGCCTAAATCATGAGTCGGACGCTCAACCAACTGAACTACCCAGGCGCCCCTAATTTTACTATATATTGATACTTTAGGTACGGTATTTCAAAAACTATATGTGTTGGTGAGTTTAATAATATTTTTAATTTGCCATTTCCATTTCAGCAGATGAAATATTTGAGAGTGTAGGAGATCGTGAGCTGAGACAAATCTTTGAAGGACAGAATCGTATCCATCTTGAGATCAAACAGCTGAACCGACAGTTAGATATGATTCTTGATGAACAGAGACGATATGTCTCTTCCTTGACGGAGGAGGTCTCTAAAAGAGGAGTCGGAATCCCAGGACAGCATGGACAGGTAAGCTTTCCAGATACATGTATGGGCCCTAGGCAGCCTCTGATGGAGAAGTAAAAACGAAAGGCTGCTGTGCAGTATGTTTGTACAGAATCGGATTCTTTTGTTTCCCCTCCAGATCACTCAGCAAGAGCTGGATACTGTGGTGAACTCTCAGCAAGAGATTCTGAGACAAGTAAATGAAGTGAAGTAAGTCCACAAAAGCAATGCCTGAGTGTTAAGTGATAAATTTATCCAAAATTCATAACATTGTTCTGTATATATGCAAGCGCATGATTATTGTAAGGATTCTGCATGAGGATAAGAATCGTGTTCTAAATTGTTTTTTCCTTGATTCATTTTATAAATAGGGGAATGTAAAGTACAGTAACTTCGATATTTAAAAACTACCAGCACCGCTAAATTGTCAAATTGTTCTAAGCCAGAAAAGGAAAAATGCTTTAGCGTCTTGTAAGAAAATATGTTTGTCACAGCTCCTTGACAGCCAGGGCTATTCATACATTTCTAAAATAAAAAGAACATATGTAATATATAAAAGTTCTACAGAAAGGTACTAGAAGAGTAAACATGTATAGCATCGTAGGGCTACAGTGCAGGCATACCTGACGCAGTAACTTTTTGATGGAATAAAGCCATTTGGAAGGAAGCATGCTATATGTGACCATATCTCTTTCATTACATCTTGGACCTTAAGAGTGACTGGACGCAGAGTTGGGGCAGAGTGGAGGTATTGTGTCTGGAGAACTTTGATAAGTTTCTAAAAAGTATTCACTTATGCAGGTAATTAATAGCTTTTGATGCCTAGAAATAGCCGAAATGTTCCGTTCCATAAGCTAGCCCTTTAGAGCACTCCCCCAGCGAATGCAGCCCTTGACAAACAAGAATGTTGAGGTGAGTTCTTTAGCGCTGGAAAATTAAACAGTATTGGGTTAAACAGGAGGTGATAATATCTACAGCTAGAGATTAAAGGCAACCCAATTTAAAACTGCAAATTTGTACTTCATTCCCTTGTACGATTAGGCATTTAAGAAAAATCTTTAAGTTGCGAACTCATGACTAGAATATTTATCACCCTAAATGAATAGTTAAAGTCTTTTAGAAATAGATTGGATCATGTAACGTTATTTTTAAAAGTCTTTATTTTGATACAATTTTAGACTTTGAACATTGCAAAAATAGTATCATTTCCATATATCCTTCACCCACCTTCCCCTGATGTTTACACCTTACATAACCATAGCACAGTTGTCTGAACCAAGAAATTAGCATTGGTACAGCACTGTTAACTAAAATAATGATTTTATTCAAATTTCGCCCATTCTCCATGAATGCCTTTTTTTTTTTTTTCTGGTCCAGGGTCCTACCCAGCAACGCACATTACATTTAGTTATTTCTCTTGAGACTTCTGCAGTCTGAAGTAGTTCACCTTCCCGTGTCTTTCATGACCAGTTTCTGCATTCAGCAGTTATTTATTTGGTCTACTGTCTCTCAGTTTGGGTTTGTCTGGTGTTTACTCATGATTGGATGGTGGTTCTGCAGTTTTGAGAAGAATACAACATCGTATCATGTTCGTGAAGTTGGTGTGTCTTATTGCTGTTGCTGTGATCACTTGGTTCTGGTGGTTATTTCTTGCTTTCTCTACTTTCAAGTTACTATTTTTCCCTTGGTGATTAATTATATTTTGGAAAAGATACTTTGAGACAATGTAAATATGTAATATCCTGTTTTAGTTTAAACTTTTACTTGCTAGTTGTAGCATCCATTGATGTCTTGCCTGAAACAAGAATGAGATGTCTCCCAAATGCTAATTGTTTTCCTGTTTTCACCATTCCTTCCCATGTATTTTTGGGAATTCTGTAAGGACCAGCTCTCTATTCTCCTCCATTTATTTATTCAATCAATTATTTATGCCAGATGGACTCATGGACATTCTGTGGATTATGATCCAATACTAGCATTATTTGTTGCTCAAATTGTTCAACTTTGATAACTCAGAACTCCTTCAGGTTGACTTCTGTGTTCTTTCAACAAGCCCCATCCTTTTTTTTAAAGCATTTCTTTACTTTCTGGTAAGCTATACTGTGTTTCAGGCTCATCTTGTGTTTTCTCTGTCCCAGCTCTAGAATCCACCACTTCTTCAATGAGCCCTGGTTCCTTTTATTGGAGAAAGGTATTCAGAAACCCTAGATCTGGGCACTAGGTGTGCTTATTACCTCTGTGCTGCTACTGCTTCTGGGCCATCTCAGTGGACAGAGCTGCGGATTATGTGAATGTTTAATAATCCACATGCTACGTGTATCTTTATTTTTGTACCTATCACTCTACATTTGTATTTAAAAGAAAACCCTGAGATTATCCACACACTTTGGATTCTTGTTGGACCAGGCTGGACTGAATAGGACAGAGTTGATTTTTACCTCGTCCTTTCCTTATTTGAAAATCCTTTCTCCAAGCTGGAGAAACCTGGTTCTTCTTATCTCTGACGTATTTACTTATTTTAGTGTGCACATAATATACGCATAAAATGGTTTCAAACTGTTAACTTCTGTCACTGAGAGAGACATTTACTGATGGATTTATGTAAATTTCCTTTTGCCTCTAGCCTTACGTTTGTAATGCAGACCCTATTTTCCAGACAGTTACTGAGTTCAATTCTCCTCTGCCCCACTCTCTTCAGTGTGGTTGCGATACGCAGTTAGCATATAGTTAGATTTCTTTGTTAGTGTTTGTATTCTTCCCACATCCTGGTTGATTTTCATTGTGTGTATTTTGGGTATATGAAGGGTATGTAAATACTATGTTCTGTGAGGTTCTAAGAGTAGAAATGTATGTGTTCACTGAAGTATCACTCCCTCTTCACCACTGTCACCCCATTCCCACCTGTCCCCTTCTTTCCAGCCTTTTCCCACCCACCAGATTGGGAACCTGTTGGTAACCTGTCCCATTAGTTTCTAGTTTGTTCGTCCTGTATTTCTTCTGCACGTGTGTATTTTCTTAGCTCCCCTACTTTCTTATGTGAATGGTAGCATATTCTAGATACTCTTTTGTGCTTTGCTTGTTTCCCTTAACAGTAGTACTTGAACATCTGAAGATTCAGTTAGTGGTCAGTAAATCCTAGTAAGTATTATCCGTGAAGGACATATTTAGGGCAGTTAGCAACCCTTGTAAACTCTCACTCACCAGTTGACAACAAATGGCACGCATACCATAAGTTAGTGTAAAACCTGAACTTGAGTTTCTAAATTTGTCCTCTACAGTTTCTTTCCTTCTGGATTAAGCTTCAGGAAAAAAAATGTAAAGAGACAGGAAATGCTAGCATCTTATGGAAAGGGTGAGCTGTGTCATTAGGGAGTTTCATATCCTTTGAGAGAATTACAGATTTTTTTGAGCAGAAGCATGCAGTACAGTCCCCTTCAATTTACAGAAAAAGAAAAAAAAGGCCCTGAATGATAGGAGGTCACAATATGGAAACAGTCAGAACTGGTTTCCTTATCTCCTTACTCTGAAGTGCTATTTCTAGCATTCTGGAAAGCCTTGCCATTTGTTATTTTCACGTTAGAAATTTTCAAACACACAGAGAAGTTGAGCATAAAAGCCTTCCGTTGTATCCCCATGCCCCCAGGCTCAACAGTTATTAACAGCTGGTTGTTGTCAGCCTGAGCCCTTCATCATGCATTCCCCTCATCGGCTTTGCCGCATTTTAGTGGCAGTGGTGGCTGCAGCCTAAATCCCTCATTTCCTTAGAGGTCGTTGGAAGGTGGCACTGTCTCCTCAGGTTCCCAGTCTGGTTAAAAGGATTTCTCCCATCACTTGTTTGTTATCCTGAAATACTCCAAGAAAAGCAGAATAAGTACTTCACTCTTTTTTCCTTACCATTTTTCAAAATCATGAGTTGGCGCCCTGGCAACCTGCCGGGCTAAATTATGAGGTCGTGAGCAGTGGTTTTTTTTTTTTCCTTTCAACACCTGGATTTTAACATATTTTGCCATTATGATTCATTAGTCTTTACAATTGATATTCAAAGGGTCTCATCTTTGGTCACTAGCAACCCCAGTCAGCTCCCGTGTCCTTTTGACATAACCCCAGAACTCAGTAGTCTTTGATAGCTTCTTTTCTTTAAGATGTAAGACTTTCCACGTTTCAGAGCACCTGGCTGGCTCTGTCCGTAGAGCTTGTGACTCTTGATCTCAGGGTCATGGGCTCAAGCCTCCCATTGGGCATGGAGCCTACTTTAAAAAAATAAATAAAAAAGACTTTCCAGATTTCTCTTGTACATTTCCATCCCACATGTGACAAAAGGCATTTTTCTTTGGATCCCTTGTCTTTTTAAAAGTTTATTTAGTGAAAGAAAATGCTCACATGAGCAGGGGAGGGGCGGAGAGAGCATCCCAAGCAGGCTCTGCACTGTCCGGGCTTGAACTCACAAACTGTGAGATCATGACCTGAGCTGAAATCAAGAGTTGGATGCTTAACTGACTGAGCTACCCAGGAGCCCTTGGATCCCTTGTCTTTTAATGGGACATAGTGTGTATTATATAGACAGTCTAGTGTTTATTGCTACTGGGTTGTCATTGCTTCTAGGCCTTTTTTTTTTTTTTTTTTTTTTTTTTTTTTTTTTTTTTTTTTTTTTTTTTTTTTTTTTTTTTTTTTTTTTTTTTTTTTTTTTTTTAGTGGTAAAGTCTACCCTCAAAGTGGGACTCAAACTCACAGCTCAGGTATCAAGAGTCACATGCTTTACTGACTGAGCCAGCCAGGTGCCCCACTTCTAGACCTTTTCAGTGAACAGAATTACAAATGTTTTTCAAGCTCTACCATTTGTGTGTGTTGGTTTGCGTCATTTGTTAATTAGTTATATTTTTTAAATGTTTAATTCAAAATATAAATGCTCTTTTCAGTGAGTAGGCAATGTTGAACATTTCATGTTTACTTTTACCTAGTTTATTGAGTCCCTTTTACATTTTAGGTACTGTGCTAGGCTTTTTTTTTTTTTTTTTTTTTTTGAGAAAGAGTGAGCACAAGCAGGGGAAGGGCAGAAAAAGATGGAGAGAAAGGATCCCAAGCAGATCCTATACTGTCAATGCGGAGCCCTACATGGGACATGAACTCGTCAACAATGGGATGGTGACCTGAGCCGAGATCAGGAGTCAGATGGTTAACTGACTGAGCCACCCAGGCGCCCCTTGTATAAATATTCTCACATATTCTCTGGGACCTTGCTCTTAATTACCCTTTTCTATACCTTCAACCTGTCCCTGTAATACAATACTTAATGGTGCTTAGCAACCTTTATTCATTCCTGATCATCACATTATCTCACTCAGGATACTCACCCTCTCCTCAGGCCTGTAACCCAGGCGCCCCCCCGCCCCGCTCTCCTTTGCTTCCTCTAGTCTTTTTCTCTGCTCCACCCCTGACACACAGGGTAGTCCAAGCCCTTCCTTAGCTCTGGGTCCCCTTCTCTCTGCCACTGCTGACCCTTGTTCCGTCAGTGATCCTCTGTGTCTTCTACCTTTAACTTTTCCTCAGTGCTACTGCTTCCATTTATAAAAGCGTTTGCTTTTCCAGTATTTAAAACTAATGAAAATAAAACAAATCTTTAATTGACTTTTTTAACTGATGCTTCTCTTTTTGCTTCCCTTTTATCCAAGTTTCTAAAAGAGTAGACCAAACTACCTATCATCACTTCCAAACCACAGTAGTTTGCCCCGGTAGTTTGCCATCAGACCACTCCTGATCACCTTCTGTCCCCGAGAAGGGCTTCCTGTGGCAGCCGGGACTCGCCCACCCCTTTCATCGGACATGTTTCAAGACTTCCCGTGTAGCACCTACTCTCTGGCCCCTCTGCTAGTTCAGCCTTCTTCACTTGCAGCTCCTCCTTACACCATCCCTCAAAGGCTGTTTTTCTCTAGGGTTCTCCAGCCCTCTCTCACGTCAGGGACGTGACCTGTCCCCTCCCTCCACCAGGCCCACCTCCACGGAACCCTCCTTATCCTCCAGCACTCCACTCTCAGGGCCCCGCGGAGACGAACGCCCCTTCTTCATGGAGCTCTGAGCTCTATACACACCTCCATCACGTTGCCCTCCGGCCAGACCGCCAGTGTCAGCAGGGCAGGAACTCCACTTCTCTCTCCATTTCTGTCCCTAAAAGTTGCCTGGCTCATCACACGTGCTGAATCTGTGTTAGCACAGTCAACAGGCGAATGAATGAATGACTGGATGGGAACACGTTAAGTGACTCAGTTTTCGTATATTAAAAAGAAAAGACGTCTACGTGTAAGCAAGTGCGTGCTCCTGGGAAGCAGTATTCTTAAATGCAGATACGGAAGGAAGTTCTGTATTTTGGGATACTTTGTGCTTGCTACGTATTTAGGTATATTAACATACAATCCTTAATTTGGGTTTTAGTGGAAGAGCTTAGACTCACAGGAGTTTTCTCAAGCATGTGTGTCATTAAGAAATTTTAATCAACACATGACATTCATTCAGAAAGCACTTGAGAAATTATTTTATAGCAAGTTTTAAAGTCTTCATTGTTCATATGACTCGAACGTAATGTTTGGAGATCAATTATACTTAACATTCAGCCTGACATACTGTTATTTCTAAGTAATTCTGAGATTTGAGTTCCTCTTTTTTGTTTTCTTCCAGCAAAGCTTTTTATTTTTATTTTTTTTTATGTTTTTATACTTTACATGTGTATTCCTCTATTTATTAAATTTTTTTATTTCTCCAAAGTTTTATTTAAATTCTAATGTTGGTTTCAAGAGTAGAATTTAGTGATTCATCACTTACATGTAACACCCAGTGCTCATCACACCCAGTGCCCTCCTTAGTACCCATCTAGCCCATCCGCCCCTCACCCCCCTTCCTGTAACCCTCAGTTCGTTCTCCATGGTTCAGTTTCTTATGATTTGCTGTCTTCTCCTTTTTTCCCTCCCTTCCCTGTTTTGTTTCTTAATTCCACATAGGAGTGAAATTACATGGTATTTGTCTTTCTCTGACTTACTGCATTTAGCATAATACTTTATCTCCGTCCACATCATTGCAAATGGCAAGATTTCATTCTTTTTTATGGCTGAATACTACTCCAGTGTGTGTGTGTGTGTGTCTGTGTCTGTGTCTGTATACACATACACATATATATACATAAACCCCACATCTTCTTTACCCATTCATCATTCCATGGATATTTAGGCTCTTTCCATAACGTGGCTATTGCCAATAATGCTGCTATAAAAATCAGGGTACATGTATTCCTTTAAATCAGTATGTTAATATCCTTTGGGCAAATACCTAGTAGTACAATCGCTAGGTCATTGGGTAGTTTTAATATTAAGTTCTTATGGAACCTCTATTCTGTTTTCCAGAGTGGCTGTACCAGTTTACATTTACATCCCCACCAGCAGCATAAGAGGGTTCCCCTTTCTCCACATCCTCACCATCTGTTGTTTCCTGTGTTGTTAATTTTAGCCACTCTGACAGGTGTGAGGTGATATCTCATTGTGGTTTTGATTGGTATTTCCATGACGATGAGTGGTGTTGGGCATCTTCTCATGAGTGTGTTAGCCATCTCCATGTCTTCTTTGGAAGAGTGCCTGGTCATGTCTGCTCCCCATTTTTTAACTGGAAAAGCTTTTAGTTTTTAAACTATATTTTACTGCAGGGAAAGATAACTTATTTATTCATTTATCCAAATTAAACTATAACTGTCAAAGGCATTGTCAGGAAACCAGAGACATGCCCCCTATTCTGGGGGATCACATGCTCAATGAGGAAGATAATCCACTAGGATTAGGAAGGAGGATGAAAAGTGTGTGTGTGTGTGTGTGTGTGTGTGTGTGTGTGTGTGTGTGTGTGTTTAGGGTATGTTTGCATTTGGCACTGAAGGCTCATGGGAAGGAGAATATAGAGGAAGGCAGCCATCTGAACTAGCCTTCCCATTTGAGGATATTGCTCTTGGAGGGAGGGGTCAGAACTAACAAACGCATCATGGACCAGAGGCTTAAAGTGAAAGATATCTTCAGGGAACAACAGGAGCCTAGACATAAAATAGAGCATTAGGAGACAGAGTTAGAAAGATGAGCTACAAAGAGGTCATGGAGACCTTTAAGGATTTTTAAAGACTGTGGTCGTTTTCAAACGTAACACAGAAGTAGAGAGATTAGCGTAGTGAAGCCCTGCGTATCCATCCTCTTGCCCACCCAGTCTTACTTCATCTACCACGCCAAAACCCCCTTGACTTGGGGAGATATCATAATACAAATGTTAATGACATAAACTACTTGGCATCTATAGAGCTTTTTAAGTAAAATAACCTGACATTTTCAAGTGACTTGAAATTCATAAATTTTCCTCTCTTAGTTAATAGTTTTGTTATATTTCTTCCATTATTAAAAAAAGAAAAACAACACTTTGTAGTCTGTTACTATGATGTTCAAACTCATAACCAAAGGTCACACTCAGTGTTCGAACTCTATCTTACATTTACTAGTGGAGGCACATCTTACTGGGAGATTGTATTTGATGTCATTGTGTCAAGTAAAACATTCTGTAAGGTAAAAATTACTCTTCCTAGGGGCGCCTGGGTGGCTCAGTCGGCTAAACGTCCGACTTCAGTTCAGGTCATGATCTCACGGTTCATGTGTTCGAGCCCCATGTCGGGCTCTGTACTGACAGCTAGCTCAGAGCCTGGAGCCTGCTTCCGATTCTGTATCTCCCTCTCTCTCTAGCCCCCCCCCTCCCCCCCGCTAACACTATCTCTATTTCTCTCTCAAAAATAAAGCATTAAAAAAAATTTTTTTTTAAATTACTCTTCCTAAAGACACTATGTCAGAGACTGCCACACTGGTATGCCAGACAGCTAGCTCCCCCTTCATATTTGAAATGGGTGCTGCTTTAGTTGGGTTCTAGTTGAAGTCCTAGGTTTGTATAAAGTGCTGGAAAATGGAACTGCATGGAGAAAGAGGTAGAAGTACCTTTGTCTTAGGGGTCCCTAAGGCGACCCCCCAGCTGTGATTTCCTAGAAGTGCTCACGGTTGTGACTTACTATAATGAGAGGATATAAAATAAAATCAGCCAGGATGGGAGGCGTATGCCTGGCGTGGAGCCCAGGAGAAGCCAGGTGTCTGCCCCAGTAGAGTCGCATGAGCAGTGCCCAAGGAGCTCACCCAGGCCTCAGTGTCAAGGATTTAGGGGTTACCACCCGTGTAACTGACCTTACCCCTCAGTCTCCAGTCCCCCTAGAGGTCAAACTGATACCTCAGCCTAGGGCCCCCTGCAAACAAAAACATAAATCACATTGTTAGCATAAACCATCAGGCATGGCCCAAGGCCCCAGGTAGACAAGGGTACCCATATTAGGTAACATATTTTAAGGGCCAGTCCTAAAAACCTTTGGAACGTGCAGAGTTTGTGCAGCCCAGGCCTGATAACTTAATCCTTTATTGCACAACATTAAACCCTTGGATTTAAGTCCATTCAGAGGATCACCTGTCACTGGGGCTCAGTCAGTTAAGCATCTGACTCACTGATTTCAGCTCAGGTCATGATGTCATGGTTCATGCAATCGAGCCCCGCATCGGGCTCTGCACTGACAGTGCGGAGCCTGCTTGGGATTCTCTCCCTCCCTCGTTCTCTGCTCCTCCCCCTGTTCACACACTCTCTCAAAATCAATAAACATTTTAAGAAAAAAGAGTATCACCTATTATGTTATTCAGTATCAATTTATGATATTGGTTTAAACACAAATTATTTAGCAGTATTCCCTGTGTGGCTAATTTTAGATGATCTGTGTAGTAAATGAAGGGCATAATGTTAAGTTGTAGTTTTGTAAATTTTCCAATCTTGAAGATAGCTCAGTAATTCTAAATACTGATTTAAAAAAAAAAATCTACCATATTAGGCTTAGGAATATATTTAACCACTCGAAATATGTGACCAAAAAAATCATTTTTCTAGCAGTTTCCTTGTCTAAAGGGATTTTCTGTTTCAGGAATTCCATGAGTGACACCGTCAGACTGGTCAGTGGCCTGCAGCATCCCGGATCTGTGGGGGGAGTTTATGAGTCCACCCAGCACTTCAACGACATCAAAGAGCACCTTCACATAGTAAAGCGGGACATCGATAACTTAGTGCAGCGAAGTATGGTAAGCTCTTTTCCATTTACTTTTATAATTGTTACCCTTCCTTAGCTAGAAAAGGAAGAACACATACTCTTTTTTATTTAATTTTTTTATAAAGTTTTTTTTAAACATTTATTTTTGAGAGACAGAGACAGAGCACAAGCAGGGGAGGGGCAGAGAGAGAGAGGGAGACACAGAATCCGAAGCAGGCTCCAGGCTCCGAGCTGTCAGCACGGGGCCTGACACGGGGCTCAAACCCATGGATGGTGAGATCATGAAGTCGGACGCTTAACCAACTGAGCCACCCAGGCGCCCCAGGAAGAATACATATTCTATTGAAAATATTTTAACTTTTTAATTAATACTAAAGTTCATTTTTAATATTCAAGGTGAAATTATTCCATATGATGCAAATGTCTATATGTCCCATGCTCCCATACCCTATTGAGTAGAATGTTTTAAAAAATACTTGCTATTCCTATCATTGGAGCCGTCACAATTTCTGACTTTTTTTCTAGATTCTTTCTGCAAGAAAGTTCTTATTTTCAGCAATCATATCAGATAAACAGCTTTAAAAAGGCGACTGTCTCTTGACCCTTCTCTGAGACAGACGGCTGCTGGGCGGCCCCCGTGTCTCACCATGGGCTGTGAGGAAGCGCAGGCCTGGACTGGCTGGTGGCCTTTCTTTCAGCCACACTCTTCTTTTGTCCAGCAGCTTGTCCTGTCTTACTTGATGCACTTTTTAAAAATTCTTTTGTCTTTTGTGGGGGCCGGGTAGGGGGTTAATATACTTTATTAGGCCTGATTTTTAAGTATAAGCCCAGGTATGTGTTTAGAGATTGCCCGTAACTATAAAAGTAGGTAACACGTGGGGGCGCCTGAGTGGCTCAGTCGGTTAAGCGTCCGACTTCGGCTCAGGTCATGATCTCATGGTTTGTGGGTTCGAGCTCTGTGTTGGGCTCCGTGCTGACAGCTCAGAGCCTATAGCCTGTTTCGGATTCTGTGTCTCCCTCTCTCTCTGCCCCTTTCCTGCTCATGCTGTCTCTCTCTTTCTCTTTCTCTCTCTCTCTCTCTCAGAAATAAATAAAACATTTTAAAAAATTGAAAAAAAAAGTAGGTAACCCGTTTTCCGAGTTTGATGTGCATAAGAGACGACACTAGACAGTGGGCCTGCGGTGCTTGTTGTTCCTTAACTTACTTACTGGTGTTCAGACCCCTTATCAAATTCACAAGTGCTTGTAGCACTTGCCTCTTCCTCTTGTGATCCAGTCTCCTTAAAATGACCAAAACTAAAAATTCACTGTGTAACAACCCGATTAAAAATGTGCTGGAGAAATGAATGGCATTCATGGGAAAAGCTTGTACTGGGGCACCTGGGTGCCTCAGTCACTGAAACATCTGACTCTTGGATTTCACCTCAGGTCAAGATCTCACCGTTTGGGAGTTCGAGCCCCACATCAGACTCTGCACTGACAGTGCAGAACTTACTTGGGATTCTCTCTCTCTGCCCCTCCCTTGCTCATGCTGTCGCCCTCTCTGACAAAATAAATAAACATTTGTTTTTAATTATAAGAGAAAAAAGGAAAAGCTTATACCATATATGAAAACATGCTTAAGCTACTTCTATCATGAGAGAAATGAATGGGGGGGGGGGTGGCTGTAGTTTATCCATCCATTGTTTCTTTCTTTTTTAATATAAGCAGAAACAGTTATGAAATCTCCCCTTTCTTTTATAGATGGTAGCATGGTGTACGTATTTATCTTCTCCCTGGTTTTTTTCCCTTCTTCACACGGCCATTGTAGTATACGGACCTTCCTCACTGCTTTTATAGCCATATGCCCCCCATTATGTGACTGTGTAATCATTTATAATACAATTTCTAATGAGAAGTCTGCCTTTTTTTTCTATGCCTAATGTGTTTTTCTCTGCTTCTAAGATTTTAATCTAATACTGATTTTCAACAGTTTGATTATGATATGCTTTGCTTTTGTTTTTCTTCCACTTGGGTGGGGCTCAATATCTTGGTTCTGTGCATTAATAGTTGTCTTTAATATGGAACATTTTTAGCCATGTTTCTTTCAGTTTTTTTCTATTAGACTTTCTGTTTTCTTTTAATGTTTGTTTATTTATTCTGAGAGTGTCAGACGTTTAACCAACTGAGCTGCTCAAGCGCGGCTCTCTTAGACTTCTAGTTGTGAATCACTTCTGTTGCTGTGTCTTCAGGTTTATTGAGGTTTTCTTCTGCAGTGTCCAATGTACTGTTAATCTCCTCCAAAGTATCTTTTTGTGTGTTAGTCTCTGGAAATTCCATTTAGGTCCCTTTTTTATATCTTCCATTTCCTCATCATGTTTATATTTTTCTCTACATTCGTAAGCCCAGAGATCAGGTTTACAGTATGTTTTAAGGTCTTTCTTGGGTAATTCCATCATCTCTGTCATTTCTGGGTCTTATTTTTACTGATTAATTTTTCTCCTAAGACTGGGTCAATTTTTCTTCTTTGCACACCTGGTAATTTTTCATTGGATGCTAAACATTTCTCCTTTTATGTTACCGATTGTTGGATTTTGTTGTCTTCCTTTAAATAGTATTTGACTTTGTTGTGATCTATAGTTAAATTTAGGGTATTAGTTTGATCTCTACAAGGTACGCTTTTTAAGCTTTGAGGGTCTGGTTAGGATTTCTCAGTCTCAGCAACATTGATATTTTGCACCATGTACTTTTTTTTGTGGGAGACTGTTCTGTGTGTTATTGGCCTCTACCTACTGGGTGCCAGTGCCACTTCCCAGGCACGACAATCCAGGTGAGGTGTCTTCAGACATGGCCAGATGTTCTCTGGCCGAATAAAACTGCCGCTGGTTGAGAACCGCTGGTCTAAGGGTGTGTTTCTCCCCCCTGCAGTGGTTTCTCTGGCTGGCTGCTGGGGAAACAGACTGTTCCTAGCGCTGCCCGTGAGCTCTGGGAATTGTTTGGCCTCTTGCTTTGAGTAGTTCTTTCCTAGCTCTGTGGAGTTTTACACCACACATGTGCAGATTAGATTCAGCCAAAGATTTGAGGGACACTTCTGCAAACTTCAGAGATTTCTGTCTCTGTTGTTACCCCTTTTCATAGTCTGTCCCATAGCGCCTCTGTAACCTCCCCAAACTGCGGCCTCAGCCTCGGACTTCTCAACTCAGCAGGGCTACTCGCTTCTCTCTGGGGGCCCTGCCTGTGCTGCAGAATCTACCTCCAGGCCACTGGCTGTGGCCAGTGTTTGTAAACGGGTGTCACATACTTTATCCTGTTTTCTACTTGTTCAAGGTGAGAGAGCTGTTCCTAGTCAGCCCTTCAGAGGTAGAAACAGAAAATGTTCCTCCTATCCCATAATTTTTTATATGGAGTATTTACATTAATCTTCCGATAAACTTTTTAATTTCCATTTTAATGTCTTCTCTGATCCATGGGTTTATTTTCTTTTTAATTAAAAATAATTTAATGTTTATTTTTAAGAAAGAGCACAAGCAGGGGAGGGGCAAAGAGAGAGAGGGAGAGACAGAATCCGAAGCAGACTCCAGGCTCTGAGCTGTCTGCACAGAGCCTGACGTGGGGCTCGAACCCACAAACTGTGAGATCATGACCTGAGCCGAAGTCAGACGCTTAACTGACTGAGCCACCCAGGCGCCCCCTGATCTCTAGTTGTCTTTCTTTGGCCTTTTTTCCCCCCTAAAATGCTGATCCCATAATTTCTTACTATCTTGTTTGCTGCCTTTGCATGCAGATAGGTGGGGTTTTGTTTGTTTGGGTCTTTTTCTTTTTTTTTTTTTTTTTTAAAGAGAGAGCACATGTGAGCAGGGAGAGGAGCAGAGGGAAAGAAAGAGAATCTCAGGCAGAATCCGTACTCCACATGGAACCTGACATGGGGCTTGATCCCACGATCTTGGGATCGTGACCTAAGCTGAAAGCAAGAGGTGGGCGCTCACCTGAGGCATCCACAGGCAGATGTTCGTCTTAGAGCAGACTTGTTTCTGGGTCTGCTGGTTGTCTTCTGCGAGGCAGATGGTCTGTACTATGTGGTTTACCTTCCCAGAAGTCCTAATACCAGATTTTTAAAAAATACTTTTTTTCTTCAGGAAAGAAAATATGTTAAATAACTTGTCTGAGGTCATTAGCTAGTACGTGGTAGAAGGGAAGAACTTAGGTCTTTCACATGTAATCTCATCTCCTTTGTATTTTTAGATACTGTCTGTGTTAACTATATTTTTATATACGTCTCAGATATACATATTTTTCAAATATGACTTAATAGTTTTCTTACTGATCATTACCTCTCATCCAAAGCATTATCGTCTATTCCCTTAGTTTCGTTTGAGGTTATTTTCTCCCAACTTCAGCCTGTGTTGCAGTGGCCAGGTTGATGCTGTAGATACATGTGTACAGACGTAAACATAGTGAGAACTAATCCTAGAAGCCATCTGTCTGGATACCTTGATCAAATCTTTGTCCCTGGTATTTAATGATCCCCTGAAAATAGAAGGAATACCCATGGAAATAGAAACATTTTTCAAAGTACTAATTGATAATATTGATTGCTAAGAGATCGGGGAGGATGAGGACTAAGGAAAAGCCATTGTATTTGTCAGGTGGGGTAACCATGTAATTGCCTGGACCAGAACATTTTTGAGAATAAAGGGGATACTATTGATAATTACTCTTGTACAGGAAGTATAGACTGGATGTGTCCAGGGAATGCGTGGTTTGTGACCATCAGGAACCCAAAAAATTCATTGTCACTTTGAGGAAGATTTGAGCCCGATGGCAATGAGTTAGTGACTGGACCATGATGGTGGAGGCCTTCCAGTGTCAGCTACTCTCTCAGAAAGTTAGGAGGTAGGGGCGTCTGGCTGGCTTGGTCAGAAGAGCATGCGACCCTTGATCTTGGGTCATGAGTTTGAGCTCCACGATGGGTGTAGAGATTGCTAAAATAGAAATATATAAATGAACTTATAAAGGTAGTAGAAGTTAAGGGGGCAGAAGATCTTTATGAGATGGAAGACTTGAGTTTATGTAGTTAACCATGAATTTTATCAAGATTGCACATTTACTTCTTTTTCTAAAATACCAGTTTGAGTAACAGAAGTTCTTTGCCTTACAGCCATCAAACGAAAGACCAAAATGCCCAGAACTACCACCATTTCCATCATGTTTATCTACGATACACTTTGTTATATTTGTAGTGGTACAGACCGTGTTATTCATTGGTTATATCATGTATAGGTAAGTCTCTAAAATGTAACTCAACATTTTTCTGTGTTTGTTCAATTTTCAATACTCAAAGTTATCAATGCGCATAACAGAGCCTTTGGTAGTTATAAAATTCGGTTTACACAAAGCAAATATTATTTCTAGTCTATTTCAGTCACGTGGGAGTGCATTTGTAGAATGTATGCTTATCTTAATGCATCTTCTATCTCAAAAGATGATGTATATTTTCAATTTTAAGCACTCCTTTCTGAAGTAAAATATACAGAACTTTCAGTTTTTCTTTCTTTCTCTTTTTCCTTAGGACTCAGCAAGAAGCAGCTGCCAAAAAATTCTTTTGACCACGATTTTCATATGTGTACATCATGTATGTGTGTACAAAATGTTGTCTTTTTGAGGGAATTTAAGTATTTAAATTGCTTCATAGTCTAAATTATTAAATTTTGTATAAAATAACTTTAAACGTTGATTTGCAGTAAGAATAAACCTTAAAACAAAGACAACCACATGTAAATTTGTGCATAGTACATAAATCTATTTAAATTTCAGTGAATTTCTGGCCAGTAGAATACAACCACTGAACAGAATATTGATTAAAAAAAGAAGATGGTAAATAATAGAAACTGGGGGGCCCCCCAGATGTGAAAGTTACCCCTACGTCTCCAGTGTTGGAAGGTTTCTTTATTTAACGTAAATACACTTGCCCTCCTGACCCCCAAACTCTGTGATCTGAGAGCTCCCCATCATGTCCATTTTGTGACCAGACTCTTCTCTTAGAGGTCAAGTTTCCTACTCTGTGACTCAGTCCTGCAGGCCTTTAATGCAGTTCCCCTTTGAAATCAAAGAATATTTTGTCTGAGAGCTTTAGGATCTAGAAAATAGGCTTTGGAATGTTGAAGTATTTTGCCCTCCTATTATCCAGGATACATTTCACTTTTAAAGGGAGTTTCGGAAGAAAATGAAGAGCTGCTCTTTGCCTGAAAACCCGTTTAGGTGAAGACGTTTGTTCCTCTCATACTCGTTTTTAGAGGTCGTCTTCTGCCTGGTAATGTGTTCATTTCATGACTGTTGCGCACGTTCTCGAATGCCTCCATTGCATCAGTGTCAGTTCAAGATTATGAAAATGATCTTGGGGTTTATTTGTAGCTTAAGGAACTTATTTCTCCCATGTTGTATAGTGTGTAAGTCCAGCTCCGACTGCCTGTCTTGAGGATAATGCTCACAAAACCTATTGCATTTTGGTTAACATTACGTGATATAATCTGGTGGTGTTTAAATCAAGCAGGCTATATAGTAGAAGCCATGTTAAGATTTTGAAGGCAACATTTGCAGAATAGAATTACTAGTTCTGATTTCTTTTTTTGTAATGCCAGAACTGAGGGTATTGCGAAGCAGTTACTAGGAAGCTCAATCCTGAAATGTCACACTGGAAGGGGTTATTGTAGTCTTTGTACATAGTTGTTCTAGGTATTCTAGAAACAGTTGGTAAAGGTCATTTTAAAATTCAGACCTGTTTTCACAGCTGACGTAGACCTGTTTCTTACTGGCTTCCAAATACTCTTTAAGTAGTTATCTGTCCTTTGTCACAGAAGCCAAAATAATACTGTGTTATAAAACAGTACTGTTTGATTCTTCCAGACCTTCATGAATTTGCTCTCAAATGTCATTCACAGATTGGGCTAACCACCTAAAGTCTCTGTGGAGCCCGGGAGGAGCTCCGTGCTGTGCGCATGCACAGCCCTAGCCTTGCTTTCTAGATTCCCGTTCATCCTGGAACACTGAACGAGAATATTCTAGTGACGTCCTGCTCCGCTCCGGTCGCTTTCCCAGAGAACATGTTTCTGTGGTCTGCCTGGGTGGTAGTAGTAACATTCTGAAATCCGTGTTTCAGAGACCTCACACAGTCTGCTCTTAATCTGAAAGACACAAACAGAAAACCTCCGGAAGAATATTTAAGTTGTGGACTGTGAAAGTCGGGAAGTCCTCTTGAGGTAAAAGGCTGCAGACTGTCCAGTGTTACAAAACCCGTGGTCACACGTGCCCGAATGTCCAGCAGGAAAACCAGATGTACATCCGCCCTGACCCGGGGAGGCGGCGGCCACGGGAGCACGTGCATCTTTTTCTCTCTTACTTAGTCATTTCATTGACTTGAAAATCCCTTAGTAAAGCAGTTCGCACAGGCCCTTCGTCATATTGGTTGAAATGCGGTTTCTTTTCCTCAAAATCACAGACCTTAGGTGGCTTCATTTCTGAAGAAAAATATTTGCTCTGCGGAGAAATCCGTCACTGCCAGGACCCTTTCATTTCTATACTGTTTTGTAGAATTGAATTTGTTGACTTCTCTCACACCAGCAACTATTTTCCAGGTGCCTTGGATGAAAACAAAATTGATTTTAAATTTTTAGTGTATAACTCCTTGTGCTTCTGATGCCACTTTTAAAAAGAAATTAATTACCTAATGGCTGATGCTTTTATTTAGTGTGTCTGCTTGTGTTCTGATTATTCTAATGTTTTATTCAGCTCAAAACTTCCCTGTGAAGCCACAGACAGTAAGCGGTGTTCTGTTAGGTATTAAAGGGACGTCAGCATTTCTCAAAGTGTGGTCCGGGGACCATCCGGGTCCTGGTGTGCTTGTGAAGAAGACAGAGTCCAGGGCTCCGTTCTAAGTCGCCTGAACCAGAATTCAGGGGCGAGGCTTCCGAAAGTCGTTTTCAGCAAGCACCTCGGGATTCTGAGCACACCTGAGAACCACTAAGATGAGGAATGCGAAAGTAGAAGTCTTTTGTTGGTTTAAAGCTGAGCTGGGAGCATAATGTGACATTTTCATCGTCAGTGACATCAGTAAATGCGCCCTGATTCTTTTATACTTCATAATTAATGTTCTTTTTACTAAAACTCTGGGTTTATTAATAATCACACATTAAGCCCAGATTGTTGCCCATAGCTTTTGGTACTTTGTTTGATGGTTTTTAAACTTATAAAACAAGCCGTGGAAACTCCCATCTCAAAGTACGCCTGCTAAAGCTCTTTGCTTTCCTGATTGCAATTTTTGTGGCATTTTATCTCAGACAATTATACTTTTTGGTAACTTGGGGAAAACAAATTACTTGAATAAGGGATTGCCTGACCCAATGCATTGCAGAGATACAATCTTTGTAAAGAATTTAAATAGCAGTTGTGAATATTAAGATGTGATTATCTTTTCCTGTTCATGTGCTCACTGCAGGGAGATAGTGAACAAACGACTATATGGGGTGGTTTGTTGTTTTTTTTTTTATTTATAAGGCCTAATGTAAAATCACCACTTGCAACTTTTTAGACCTGTATGTTTGCCTGTTTAATATTTTTCTTTTAAAATTTAAAAGGGTTTTCTATCCACTGTTCATTTCATGAAATTGGGTAACATTTTGTCAAGTGTTTTTTTCTGATATTTGATGCTAGCTGAAATTCAAGAAATGACATTGACCTTATTCAAATAAAGAAATATTTTAGTAAATTTACGTTTCTCCATCCTTGATCTCGGGTAATAAGTAGTTCTTTATTTTCCAAGTAGGCCCCGATTGTGATCATGTTTATCTTTTGCTCTGCACTGTAGCCACATGCAGAATCAACGCATGGAAGCGTAGAAAGAGAAGTAGAGATGGAAATGGGTACAGCTTACCCTTGCTGGTAATGAAAAACACAAACTCATTAGAACAGTGCATTTGATGTTTTCACCTCTAATAAGCAAATACTGGTGAAAGAGTAGTTAAGCTGGAACTCTTAATCATTAGTAATGGTGGTTTTAAAAAAAGTACTTTAATCTCCTTGGCAAGCACAATTTATTTAGCCAAGTAACTCCAATTTTGAGAGCCCATGTAGTATTAAAAGGAAAGAATAGGGCTTTGGTGTCAGACAAAACTGGGTTTAAATCTTGGCTCTGCCACTTACTAAACATGACCTTCAGTTTCTTTATCCTTGTCTCCCTGGTTGGAAGCGTTGTAAAAGAGGCTTTCGCAGCGGTCTCAGGAAGTGGGGACCCTCTTCTGCTGTAACACAAATACTGGGTAGAGTAAAATAAGTGGTTTAAATACATTCGATGGGTTTGAAAGAAATCAGAGGAAACGACGTTCATGCCTGATCAGTGCGCCTGCTGGTGGAGATGCACAGATAAACCCCAGTCGGAAGCTGCAGAGGCCGCTTGGGACACTGGGGACACGCCTTGCCCACCTTGCCTTGGGGATTTTACTCAACTGTGATGAGAAGCCTTTGGACGCCCTACACTGGCCTGTCACAAATCTTGGGATATTTCTGCAGGAACCAGAGATTTGACACAACAGCAAATAGTTTATTCAACGTCCAAGTGGAAGGGCTGGTGTAATAAGCTGAAGAATAAAAGGATTTTAAAGACATGATCCCATTTTCAATGGAATTAGCTACTGCAGAGACTGTGAGAGACTTGATTTCGTAAAACAGCAGTACCAGGAAGTAGGTACTGAATAGTTCACATGGTTGTAGCTGCTACCTAAGGGTCTCTGTGTGGCTCCATTACCCCTCCCCCGCCCACAAAAGAATTTGGATTTTTACTCTGTCAGCTGACATGTCCGAATACCCCCCTCAGTGCAGTGAAGAGAAGAAATGGTTAGAAATGGAAATGTAGAGGCAATGGCCCTAGTGTGTAAAGTTCCAAGCAGTGCATCTAAAAGTGAAAGTGGGGGCGCCTGGGGGGCTCTCTTGGTTGGGCAGCTGACTTTGACCCTGGTCATGATCTCACAGTTCCATGAGTTCGAGCACCGCGTCGGGCTCTGTGCTGACAGCTCAGAGCCTGGAACCTGCTTCGGATTCTGTCTCCCTCTCTGCCCCTCCTCCGCTCACACTCTGTCTCCCTCTCTTTCAAAAATAAAATAAACATTAAAAAAAATTTTTTTAAGTGAAAGTAGAGCCGATATGAACGCACGTTCTGAAGCCAAGCACTCCTTACGATTCGTTCCTGTTTCATCCCAAATCTTTGTCAGGCTTTCAAATTGAGACCATTTTAGCAACATCTTTAAATAGGTCAGTAAAAGGCAAAACATCTTAGAATACATAAAAGCAAGCATTTTAGGCAAAAATCCAGATTCTACAGTTCTGTACAACGCGAGAGACCCATTTCCTGAGAGGGCCCATGCCTACAGATAAAATAATAAGCACAGTTTACAAATAGCCTCATCTCTTCCTCCACACCACCTTGTCCTGGAGCGCTTTAATTAGAAAGATACTAACCGATTAAAGTCTTAGCCATATTCAAGTCCTCCCTTGACCTGAAGAAAACCATGCCCATTGAGAATCTATCTGCTGTGTGTTAGAAAACCTTGTCAAAAGTTTTACCCACTTCCACCAGTAAGTATAAATAGAGCACCCAGGAGGTGGGCTCTATGTAAGGGGGAGAGGTGACCCCCTCACACAGGGATGATTTAACTCACACTGTGCTTCCATCCTGGGCTCAAGCACTGAACGTGGTGCATCATTTCCAAGCAGAAGGGCAACAGTGCAGGAGAAGGCTAAGATGATCTTTCAGGTCTTTCTTCCAGCGAAGGACCCTTTAGACTTGCCTCATTTGAGTCCTTCCGCAGGGGACCCAGTAGTCACCAAGGCAGTACAGAATTCAAACAAACCAAAAGGCAAATCCTTGCATCGTACTTAGACTCCAATGAGATAAAATGATGGATCAAAGGATTATTTTTGCTTAATGAAGCATTCGGGGTTTGAGTCTCACTGCACTCCGTTTTCAACATGATGTGCTCCTGGGCTGGAATTTGGAAATTCCATTACAGCCACGTAATCAGTCAGCTCTGATTAACTGAAACGGGACTCTCACTGGAGCCCTACTGCGCTTCATAATTTCAAATTTAGAAATGGGTAGGGCGAAGAGTAGATAACATGAGGGACTTTTTGCTTCTGAAATTAGCTTAGTGTATTAATTCAGAAAGAAGTCGGTTGCATCTGATCGTATGCCTTAGTAATCTGAACCATCTGCCTCCCTCTATTAAGGAGTTCATCTCTTTAATCCAGCTTTACAGCCGCAAACCACTCTTCTCTGTCATCCTGCCCTTGAGTGGATGAGGCCGCGCAAAGTCCTTCGCTCTTGAACGTGTGGCCGTCGTTGAGGATATTTGGAGATTCTGTCTTTTGTTTTCGTTTGTTTTTCCTTCAAGTTCTGAGCGTTGGTTTTATTTTTGTGGAGCAGACACAATGGCTTTCTTTGTGAAAACTATGATAAGCAACCAGGTAAAGAATTTAGGATTTGGTGGCGGGTCTGAAGAAAAGAAAGAAGAAGGAGGGACATCTGATCCTGCAGCAGCTCAAGGCATGACTAGAGAGGAGTATGAGGAGTATCAAAAGCAAATGATTGAGGAGAAGTGAGTACACGTGGCTTCGTTTCCCTTTAAGAGCCCAAAGCAATGAATTCTGGCCAGACCTCCCAGGGCTCCCCGATTTCTTCCTCTCTGCTTTTTAGATGCCTTTTCTCCGTGCCATTTGCCCCTGACCTTATGAAAGAATGTTCTGCTCAAGGAACGATTTCCTAGCCTCCGCAGTTACGATGTCCTACCTGCAAGGATGACAGTGAAAAATAATAAATGAATCTATGTGTCATTCTTCAAGTGGCTTAACATTCTGGTCAAGGTTCCTTTTAATTAGCCTCAGCCAAAGTGCTCAGATGAAAACCTGTGAACCTGTCCCCACAGTTTGCGCAGCCTTGCCTGACTAGCACATGGAAAAGCTTTCAAATTGTACGAAAGCTTTGCTCCTGGAAGAGGAACACGCAGTGCAATCTTTTTTTTTTTTTTTTAACCTTTTTTAAACCCTAGAAAGCACAACATGGGGATTATGTCCTAAGACTTGGCTCCTCCAAGACTGTGAGTAAACTTGAAGACTGTTTATTGTATTTTATTTATTTTTTTATACTTAAAAAAATTTTTTTAATGTTTTTATTTCTGAGAGAGAGAGACAGCATAAGCAGGGGAGGGGCAGAGAGAGAGGGAGACACAGAATCTGAAGCAGGCTCCAGGCTCTGAGCTGGCTGTCAGCACAGAGCCCGACACGGGGCTTGAACCCACAAACCGTGAGATCATGACCTGAGCCAAAGTCGGATGCTCAACTAACTGAGCCACCCAGGCTCCCCTGTTTATTATATTTTAAAGCAACAGAAAAGCAGAACAGTATAATGAATACCCATATAAACCTATGAAAAGGTCAACAGTCAGCATTTTCTTGTATTTACTTATAGATGATTAGTTGGATAGATAGAACCATATTTTAAATTTTTCAATGTTTTTATTTTTTTTTCATGTTTATTTTTGAGAGACAGAGACAGAGCACAAGTGGGGGAGGGGCAGAGAGAGAGGGAGAGAGGGAGACACAAAATCCCAAGCAGGCTCCAGGCTCCAAGCTGCCAGCACAGAGTCCAATTCGGGGTTGGAACTCACAAACTGAGAGATCATGATCTGAGCTGAAGTCAGACTCTTAACCGACTGAGATACCCAGGCGCCCCTAGACAGAACCATTTTTAAAGTAAATTGCCAACCTCAAATGCTTTAACCCTAAATACTTCAGCCATGTACTTCCAGAACATAATCACATTCTCCTGGCTATATAAAATAAAAATAAAAAATAAAAATGAAACATCAGTAACATTGTAGCTGGGCATTATGGAACGTGAATACTGCCAACAATTTTTCACTGCTGCAGACAGATCTTTTAGTATAATCTGCATGTAATGTTTTAGATTTTAAGGTAGAATCCATTTAAGACTCTTAACAACGAAAAATTGAAGCCTCAAGCTTGAAGTTAAATGTCCATCATTTTTTAATAAAAGCGTTTAGTAAAAGTATTTCTCAGGTGCCTAGCTGGCTCAGTTGGTAAAGCATGCGACTCTTGATCTCAGGGTCGTGAGTTCAAGCCCCACCTTGGGCATGGAGCCTACTTTTAAAAAACAAAAACAAGAACTCCTCATTTAGTAAGAGTATTTCTTGTTGCCATCATGGCTCTTTTGCTAACCATCACTTACATAATAGTTGCCTAAGTCCTCTTGCTAAGATGATTATAGGTGAAAGGTTAATGACTTGGAGGAACCTAAGAAAGGACAAAGGCCTACATTTATTATTTTTTGTTTATTTTTAAAAAATTTTTTTGTAGCTTATTCATTTTTGAGACAGAGAAAGACAGAGCACAAGTGGGGGAGGGGCAGAGCGAGAGGGAGACACAGAATCCAAAGGAGGCTCCAGGCTCTAGCTGTCAGCCCAGAACCCGACACGGGGCTCAAACCCACAAACTGTGAGATCATGACCTGAGCCAAAGTCGGACACTTAACCGACTGAGCCACCTAGGCACCCAAAGGGAGTCCATTTCAAACCCGCATAATCCTGAATTCAATTAGGTGGGTCCCAGGGCATTATGGAAATCTCCCCTACCTTGTTTGGGGGTGCCTCCTTCCAAATAGGAAAGGGAACACTGTACCAAAATTGGGGTCAAGAAGGG